ACACACAAGTTTACGTTAAAAACACACATGAGTTACAAAAACAGTGGGTTATCTCTGTGAAGGTAAACAGCTGGGAAATAAATCGCATGTTTATTTTAGATCTGTGTGGCAGCAGCGATATACAGTAAATAAATCAATAAATGCACTGCTCTGTTGTCTCCTCTGAGGCTGGGACTCTAAACAGTGTTCTTTGCTCGTCTGTGCAGACAAACACAGAGCAGTTAGCAGGCTTTGCTCAAACTTTCTCCATGGCATTAGAGCTGGTACACCGTTGTCGCTTGCGAAAACACAATAACGGCCGCCGTGGGTGGAAACTTACAGATTAAGGGGCGGGAATATTATAATGAGATCCCTTTGCCACGTCACCAAGAGAGAGAAATCAGACGCGCTCGTTTTCTCAGACACTTGCAGAAAAAGGCTTCCCAAAACAAAGTTACTGGGTTAATTTTTTCACGTTTCCGTGGTTGGTAGATGCACCGGGGACCTGATTATAGCATTTAAAACCTGGAAATGATATGTCACCTTTAAATAATTCAGTTCAGGCAAGAAATTTTTTTTATTCTTTTTTTTTATTAAAGGAGTAAATTCTATAATGCTACTCATCTTAAGTTTGTAGAAATTAAAGTTTGAACTTAAGTATATTTTACTTGGAATTGTTTGTTTTGTTTACAAGGATTCTTTAAGGAAATATCAAAGTTATGATCCTGTTGTTCCCGTCATGCACTGGGGCATGAATAATTAATAAGGTTACATTTTCACTGTTTTTGAGTATTTACACTGTTTTATGGTTGCTTTTGTTGTTAAAGTAACTTGCTGTTTTGTGACATCTGGAGTTAATTTTCTACTCAAAATGACCCATTCATACTCAAACACTATCCACTGATTGTTACCGTCATTGTGTATCATGTACCAAGTCTTGATGTCTCTACTTTACTCTACTAAAACTTGAAAAGAAAAATTAAGTAAATTTTACTTGTAGTTTTTTCGGTGTAGAATGCGGGGAATCTGTGATGATGATGATGATGACGATGACGATGTCATTGTGGCATTTGCATGTACACTACCCTTCAAAAGTTTGGGATCAGTAAGTTTTTTTTAATGGAGTCTCTTCTGCTCATCAAGGCTGTATTTGTTTGATCAAAAATACAGAAAAAACACTAATATTGTGAAATATTATTGCAATTTCTAATATTGGTTTCCTATTTTAATACACTTTAAACTATAATTTATATCTGTGACGCAGCATTGAATTTCCATCATCATTCCTCCAGTCTTCAGTGTCACATGATCTTCAGAAATCACTCTAATATGCTGATTTATTATCAGTGTTGAAACTGTTGTGCTGCTTAATATATATTTTTTGGAACCTGTGATACTTTTGTCTTTGATTCTTTGATGAATAAAAAGTTAAAAAGAAAAGCATTTATTCAGAATAGAAATCTTTTCTAACAATATACTTTTTATCCATGTAACATATCCTTGCTGAATAAAAGTATTCATTTCTTAAAAAGAAAACTTTTGAATAGTAGGGTATACTGTAGCACAACATTTCTATTTTGAATAAACACTGTTCTTTTTAACATTTTATTTAACAAAGTATACTGAAAAAAGTATCTCAGATCCCAAAAAATATAAAGCAGCACAATTTTTCAACATTGATAACAAAGAAATGTTTCTTGAGCAGCGAATCAGCATATTAGAATGATTTCTGAAGATCATGTGACACTGAAGACTGGAGTAATGATGCTGGAAATACAGCTGCACATCACAGAAATAAATTACAGTTTAAAGTACATTAAAATAGAAAACTTTTATTTTAAATTGCAATAATATTTCACAAAATTACATTTTTTTTCTGTATTTTTGATCACATATATACAGCTTTGATGAGCATAAGAAACTTCTTTTAAAATCTTACTGATCCCAGACGTTTGAACGGCAGTGTCTTTGCAACCTCTATTGATCTATTCTTTTCAAGCCATCATTTTTATCAACTCATTTTAGATACTGAATTAGTTGCTCTAAGTTCGAGTAATATTTTTCTCTTTCCAAGTTCTGTAGAGGACGAAAGGCACATCGAGACATCAGAGACCAGAATAGCTTTTAATACCTAAGCTCGATGAGGCTTTTTTTCTCTCATTCTCCCCATCAGCCAGTTCTTAACTTAACTGTAGTTAAACTTGGAGCCCGTCATTTAGTTTTCGAAGCGGCTCCACAGTGCAGCGGTTCTGTCAAATACAAGAACTGCAGCCTCATGACAAGTTCTTGTGCATGTCTTAATCTGGGCGCTAATAGCATAAAGCCTTTGATTCCAAATCTGTTGCAATACTGGAATCCGCTGTGCAAATCCTCCCCCTTTCTCTCTCTCTCTGTCTCTTTTTCTCAAACGCTCACTCGCTCGCATGCAGACTTGCCCATCCAGATGTAGGGCTGGTCTCAAGGGGAAAGAATAACTAGGAGACGCTGCTTTAAAGACAGATGTTCACTCCGTTTAAATGCGAGGGCCAGCTGGCCCCATGATGCAGAGAAACTGACGTTACTGACGTCTGCCACACACACTTCTGTCAAGGAATACAATACATTCATGACTTTACATGCACTGCTGTTCAGATGTTTAGATTGATGTTGATATGTTAAACTGATGCTGTTATTCAGCAAGGGCACATTAGGAAACATTTCTTTAAAAAAACAAAAATGTTCTTTTGAACTGTTTATCAAAGAGTCTTGAAAAATGTATCAAGGTTCCAAAAGAATATTAAGCGTCACAACTGTTTGTAACACTGATACAAATCAGAAATGTTTCTCGAGCAGCAAATCAGCATATTAGAATGATTTCTGAAGATCATGTGACACTCAAGACTGGAGTAATGATGCTGAAAATACAGCTTTGATCACAGGAATAAATTACTTAAAAAAATGTATTTGTTTTATTTTTTATATATAATATAACGTTTATTTTATTTGTATTTTTTTATATTTTTTATATTTTATTAAATTTTTTGTTTACTTTTTTATTTTTTTATATTTTATGAATACAAAAAAAAAAAGATGACTTTTAGGTGCGTCTTTGGAGTGGTGTTGTATTAATAGTATTGATATTTATTTATTTATACTCCCTCTATTCAAAAGTGTTTTTTGTTGTTGTTGTAGATGACCCTCCCCCCATACTATACTCTATAACTTTGTTGTAATTATAGTTCACAATATTACTTTTTTTTTTTTTTTTTAAGACAGATGATGCTAACTCTGGAACAACATCAAATTGCAACGTTTAATCTCAATCGCAAAGTTTAATAATTGCAGTTAATAGTGTTCACCATCTTTTTGATTGCGTGTAATTTGTAACTAACTGTACATTTCTGCCATAGTCACCACTAATACCCTTCTCCTAAATATAATGTAGAAACTTTGCAAACTTTGCTGCTTTGCATTGATTCGTATCGTTAAAAAGCGCTATACAAATGAACTTGAATAAAAAAAAAAAGACTATGTATGTGACCATATCAGTATTGCCAATATTGTCTTTTTTACATTTTCAGTATTGGTTTAGTTAGGACGATAATGGAAACTGATAATATTGAGGCTTATTTTTTCATGCAAGTTGTATGAAGTACTAAAAAGCTTTCTGCTGTACCTTTTGAATAAAAGTGGCAAAGTATAAATTATTATTTTTTTGCTTATCTGCAGGCCCGAAACTCTTTTTCCAACGAGGTGGTGGCCATTAAGAAGATGTCCTACAATGGCAAGCAGACCACTGAGGTGAGAGACAAACTCTGATAGTTTTGAGTCTGTATTTGAATGTGTTGCTGTTTTAGTCTCCATATAAAGCAGTTCTATATTCAGTGTTAAGCAAACCTTCTTCTAGTGTCCTAGAACTTATGTAAATGATCAAATCAAAGCATTTGTTGCTGCAGTAACAATTTGTTTGACAATATTGTGTTTAAATAAATAAAGAATCTCTTTAGTTATTTGGCATCTGTAGAATATTGGTAGAAACCAAAAGTACAGATGTTTAAACGAGTGTGTCTGTGTGTGTGTGTGTGTGTGTGTGTGTGTGTGTGTGTGTGTGTGTGTGTGTGTGTGTGTGTGTGTGTCTGTGTGTGTGTGTTTCTTTGGGTTCAGAAATGGCAGGACATCATTAAAGAGGTGAAGTTTTTGGAACAGCTACGACACCCAAACACCATTGAATACAAAGGCTGCTACTTGAAGGACAACACAGCATGGGTTAGTACTGCCATTGAGAGGAATGGTAACAAAAAACAATCATTATTTACTATACTCTGAATTTTATATATTTTCAAATGACAAAAATATTTGAAGAGTTCATTTGCAAAAACCGATAAACGGCACTTTAAAAAAAAAAAAATTGAGCTGATTGCCGTGCATTATTCTCCACATATAGCGTGATCTGAACCCTAAACACGTTTTGTCAAAAAAGCCGGTTTTGTCCACTTTCAAGGCATCACGAGTTCACGTTTTACTGCAGAAGCCGACAAGCGCCCTTGTTGTTTTTGA